AAATATATATATATATATATATATATATATATATATATATATATATATATATATATATATATATATATATATATATATATATATATATATATATTTTTTTTTTTTTTTAAAGATAAATGTTAAGGCTTAAACAATCACAGAGAAAACTCCAGACTTACAGTTGTCCGGAACGTAGTCACTCAAACCCTCCCCTAGTAAGATAAGAAAATAAGAAAAGTAGGGTTTCTGATAAAGAGTCTAGCTGTTAAGAGAAAGTGGTATTCAGATATAATGGAAAGTTGAGTGGAAGAAAAAACTGTGGTGACCAAACCTTGACAAACAGCATGGATAAAGGTAGACTTGAGAGGATTATACAGCAAAACTCATTGAACAGTTATAGTGGAAACTTTGCTTTAAGAGCTATTAAAGACAGGAATATATTATCTCTATTCACCTGAATAATAATGTGAAATGTTTTTTAAATGCTTTTATTATGCTGAGAAAAAAAATGGTTTTCTTATGAATGTATCTAAATACGTGCCCTTTATCTCCATGTAAAATCAAAACAATAAACAACAAATGCGATCAAAAACATGATCACTGTGAAGTAAGTCAGTACAGATTTTGATGGCGTCCCCCTTTGATGGGTCACCATGACACCATGAGCAAAAACAAAAACACATATCGCTCATTTGAGAAAAACTGGTACAGAATACAAACCACATACATTTAAGAGCCATACAACTACCCCAGCACATTCAGCACATCTCTGTAGTTGTCACTTTCATCACTGTTACCGTTTGAACAAAATGTCAGAATGCAAACACAGTGGCAGCAAACGTCATAGTGGCTGGAAGGGCGGAAAAAAAAAAAAAATCTAAGGAGAAGTCCAGCTGGTTGTAACTACTGCCTGCAAGCCATTCAATCCAATCTCTATCGACTTTCTCATATGGCCTATTAATTAAGGTAGCCCAAGATAGAGCCTGCCACTTGTGACTCAGCCTCTGCTCATCCACTTTTCCGCTTTAAGCACTCATCACCTTTAACCTATCCTCTCACCTGTGAATCAGTGTGAAGAAGAGAGAGATTTCTGATAAAAGGGACGGCCTTGAATATGATTTAGGTGCCACATGTGATCCACCGTGTGGAACTCAGTTCTTCTCTTTCAAAGTCAGATTTTTCGCCACTTGATGTACTCGGCTTTTACATATTGTGTAGGACAACATTTTAGATAAGGTGCATCGCAAAAGTATTCACACCCCACACAGAATGGTAGTAAGTCATAGCACCCAAGGAACATGCCAATCAAGTCGCATAACACTGTTTGAATGAAGAAGGTAGAAGAATCTTTTGATAGCATAACTTGTGGAAAACTAACTCTGTGCATCAATCAGAACAAACAAACAAACAAAAACATTGTGAAACATGTTGGTGACAGCATCATACACTGGGGATACGTTTGTTCACAGTTGATGAGAGAAGGGCTGAAGCTGAATGCATCAGCAAGAATACCTATCACAGGCAACAAAATCTTCTCATGTCACATCACATGCAATTCCAATAAAATGCAGTGAAGCTCGAGACTGAATGTGAAAATGTCCCAGGCATTTGAATACCAATGATATGTTGTGTAACACCAGCCAAGAAAGAGCCTCAGACAACACCACTCATTGGCCATTCTGAGGCTGCTGATGTTGAGCCATATAATGTTGTTGAGACTACTGTCAACATGCTTTTAATTTAACTGAAGGAGCCCTGTGTTGCTGGGAATTCT